GAAAAACCTAGCTCCGCCCCTGTTTGTCCTCGTATATTTTTCTATCAAATAGCTTTATTTTTGATGGTGATGCTCATTGGTCAATCACAAAAAGAAGGAAATTCAATGCACGATATTTCAAAAACGGAAACCGCGCTTTTCCGATTTTGAAATATCTAGTTGCCTTTTGTACTAAAGTGTCGTCTTCAATCCCGGGAAAAACTCTGGCAACTTTTGTTATACGTGAAACTTTAAACTGTTAAGAATTGAATGAACACTAACTGATGCGCTTGGTTCGGACTTGTTCCCCCGTAGGAAGCGTACAATTTGTTCTTGATCACTATCGAATTGTTTGAGATGCTCCCATTGTGAATCAGAATAGCAATTAGCAAAATAAAAGGAGAGTCACTCATCTTAAAGCTAAGAACGACTGGAAAAAACTGTGGATATTCGCTTCTCTTAAATTTTTTAAAATCAATTTTGAAGATGAAAGAATTCAGAGCAAAAAATCGACCTTCAGATTTTTACCACTATTGGGCAAAATTAAACGCAAATTCAGGTTTTCACTCTCCAAAATGATTGTTTTCAATGTGCATTTTGGACAACATTTATTTCAATTTTCAGCAAAACTTTTACATAACCCAGAGAATACGATCAGGGCTATACCCTGTATGGAACTATCAATGTTTGGTTTCAAAGACTTATCAATAAAATCCGCGCCTAAAATGCCCAATTTCCTCACTTACACTGAGTTTTATCAAACGGACTGAAAAAATTATTCATGCGACGTGAAATTTTCTCAATAAGAAAATTGAAATAATCAGTGAGAAAGTTTTAATAAACTCGGCTGTTACTTAACTTTACGTGGGTTGAAATCTGGAATTTTCACACTCGGATTACATTGGTAAGTCTTTGAAACCAAACAATGATATTTTCATAGAGGGTAGCTCTGATCATTTGCTCTTGGTGTTTTTCAAAACTTTGCTGAAAATCAAAGTTATTGTTGTCCAAAATGGAAATTAAAAAAGCATTTGGAAAGTAAAAGCCTGAACTTGCGCTTAATTTTGTCCACTAACGTATTTTCAAAAAATATTCCAAAAAGGAAAGCCATTTGTTGAGAAGGATAACGAAAATATTTATTCTCAAGATGAAATTAAAATGAGCTTTATAAATAATGGGTTCTGGTTTTTGATTTTTGCAATTAATTTTCAAACGTTTTCAATTAAAGCATGCATATCATTGATGCTCGACGACACTTCGGAAAAATGCACGCATTAGAAATACTAGTATGGTTGCACTGTGCGTATAAATGAAAATAAATGAGCCCTCAAACACCATAAACACCATTTTTGGCTTACATAATTCATCGAACAGAATCGCCGTTGACATTTGTGACTGGAATTAATAACAAAACTACGTCCAAATATGACTTGAGTTACAAGTAGGGGCGTATCTAAGAGTTTCAGGGGGATTTTCAAAATATTTGTCGACCTTTTTTTAGGTCCTCCAAAATGATTTTCCGAGCCCTCCCAATGCACCAAAAGACCCTGTTTTGGGCAAATTTTTCTTGCAAAAAAGGCCAAAAAAGCAATGCGTTTTTTTGGCGCGCGCTCCTCCCTCAAAGTTAGTATATATTGGCACCAAAGGCGCCTTTAAAAAAATTGAGGGTCTCTCAGCGTAAAATGGATATCTCCGCCCCCCTCCCCCATTGAATCGGCCCCTGGTTACATGTTAAAAAGGGATACATTGCCTTTAGTTTATGAGCTTCGTGACTTTGTTTTATTCCTGAAGTTTAAAAGAGAACCCCAATTTATCCCGTTTTGAACTTTGCCTATGCCTTCATTGAGATTTTTCAATGAGCTTTTGTGAAACAAAATTGTTTCTGTTATAATTAGTCAGATATCTAATTTGAAGTGTACAATTTAAAAATAGATGAAATAATCAAGGCCGCTACAGCTAGGCCGCAACACTTTCAGCTGCAATAAAAAAAGTCAAAATTTTTTTTGAAGTCCTAATTTTGTAATATATTAGAGCGTTTTAAAATGGTTCAAGATCCTTTCAGTTATTAAAAACTAGTACATCTCGCGTGAAAATGTTCGCTTCGAATGTTGTATAATGACCTTCACGCAGTCATACTCGTAAATCCACACTGCCTTTAGTGATGTGCTAATAAAAATATTAAAAATATTAATAATAATAATCATAATTATCATAATCATAATCATAATAATAACAATAATAATAAGAATCATAATGATAATCATAATATTAATCATAATAATAATCATAACCTCAATCGTAATCATAATCAGTATAAATTGTTTTCAGGCAATTCCATTGTGGGCAGTTTAACAAAGTACAAACCACTCCAACAATTTTACTGCCCAGGAGAGCACCATTGTACCTACAGGTCTGTTCACAGGTGTCTCAGAGCGGCAATTTATTCAGTAAGTTTTTGATAATTGGCGAGGATTGAATTCTCAGCTTTCGGAAACAAATCATGAGACTAATCAGATTTCAATTTATATTGGTTTTCACCAGAAAATGAAATAAGGAAAATTTACTAAAAAAAACAAGAAATCGTAGATCTTACTTGACTAATAGAAAATATTTCTTCAGAGGTCTTCGATATCTATGATCTAGCAGTCTATACTATTATGATTGAAAGAACCTACTTTGTCGAAAGAAGAGCTTTTTATGTTTTCAAGAAAACTAAGATAAGAAATTAGGATAACGTTTACTCAGTTGACTCATTTAAATTTTTGTTCACTCTTGCTTGTAGTAGTCTTGCTGTACTGCGCATCTCGAAAAGTTTATTCACTCCATCATCCTTAATGAACTCGTGCAAAATTTCAATAGGGCTTTCACATTTGATAATTTCACTAGCTCATACAAATGGAGCTCCTTAACATTCAACAACTTATTTTTCAGTCGTTGATTTCGAACTGATTGGTATTTACGTACTCTAAAAATTTCCAAAGAAGCATTTCATTTTTTGACCTAGAAAGTGAATTAAAGTCTTTTTTTTTGTGGATTCTTGAGCCAACATATCACACTGTAAAACAGATTGTTACAAAGTGCTTGGTCGAAAAATAAATTTTGTCGTAACCTATAAGAAAGTCTGCATAGTTTTGTGACACTTTAACCGTGAAAATCAACGTGTTCATCGCAGTTCAGCGATTCGTCCATTGGAATTCTAAGAAATCTAAATTAATTCTTTCCCTCAATTGGCTGAATTTTTAGCTTAGTAATTTGTGGATTTAATTTTTTCCAGTTTGTTTTGCTAAAACTTACGGTTTTTGTTTTTTTTTCTGATTTTAATGTCACTATTTACTTTTCTGCTTTTCTGTTCAAAGCAATCTGGAGCTCAAATTGCACAGTTTTCAACAGTGTACATGTGTCATCTGCGTATATCATAGGTTATCTGTTTTTTGATTTAAACCGATATAATGAATGAAAAAAATTACGAAAAGCGGTGGACAAGGAAAGATCTTTGAAGAAACATGAAGCAAAATTCTGTTTATTTTGAAACTGTGTATTTAGCGGTGACATACTGCTTTCTTTGATTCATTTGGGATCCTAATTTTTGACTAATTGGTTACTTTGGTCCACATGTCTCGCATTTTATCCACAAGAATCGCTAATCTACTGTATCGAAAACTTTTTCAATTCTATGAACGAGCAAGGTATCATCTCTGCTTTTTGCAGAAGGATCCTGAAGCATATGTCGTGTATTTCAATCAGAGATACAATTGCGTCAACTGCTCCATGACATAACCGAAATCCCAACTGATCTTCTTGAGTAAGTCATATTTTTTCTTAAATATGAATATGATATCATTTGGTTTATAAGTTTTATATAAGTTTTTCCAGGAATTTTCCTATCACTGGCATTAGGGATATTGGTTGTCAATTTAGAACAATCTGGAAAAAAATTAGCTTCATCAAAGCAATCATGAAACAGTTTTGGACATTAATGGACAATTTTGGAGCAATATTTGCCGAACCTTTGCAGCTAATAGTTGGAAAGGATTTCCTCGACATTGTCAAAAGGGGGGCCAGTCTTTCAACCATTTATCATTTTTCGGTCCTGATGCCGTCACCTCTAAACTTTTTTTCCCTCAATGATCATATTAATAGTTTCAAACACTACCCTGTCCGACCAATTTTTCGGATATTGATTTTCAATCCATTGCATCGGATTCTTATCCAATGCCCGTTCAAAATTTTCCCATGTTGAGGTACTTTTAAAAACCTTACGGAATGTCCCTTCATTAACGTTTCTTTTGTATTGCAAAGGTGCGCAACCTCTAAAAGTTAGAATGGTGCCAGTATAAGTGGGTTTTTGGTACCACCCACATGTGAACTTTTTTTTTCCTGAGTCCACGCTGACATTTTACCGATACTATTTTAGGCCAAATTACAGTTACTATCAAGTTCTTCTATGGTGAACTGCAAGTTTGGATGCAATTTATTGGCAGCCTCGAGGACTACCTCAGGATCAAACTTGACAGTTCTAAGTATGTCGTCTACATATCTAAGAAAAACTTTAACACCAATCTCAGTCCGATCTGCTTCTTGTTGTTTTTTGCAAGTCATGCAATACCAAACTGTTTCAGCGATGTCTGCGTATTCGGATTCCGCTATGTTACCACACCCTAAGTGGTACCAATTCAAACAAGCTTCGCATTCTACCCCTCGAGTTCGATATGTCACCTTTTTCTGACATCCGGGGCAGACTTCCTTGTTACCCTCATTTAGCTCAGTCAATTATGCCACTTCTTTCATTAATGCAGACTCGTATTCTTTGAGCCACAAATTGGCTAGTGTTACTGCAAGAGAGGCGTACATTGCTAATCCGTCTTTCTTTACATTCCACAAACCATTGCGTTTCAAGTGCACCTTACTCACTGCCAAATTTAGCAGTTTCATAGTTTTGCGAGATATTTGTGGAGGATTGATTTGCTTTTATAATCTCCATGTTGCAGTTTTTTTTAAAAGAAACATTCATTAGCCTAATTGTTGTGATAAACTTATTAAATAGTTTAAGAGATGGAATGGATCCTGAGGTGACAAATCGAAGGTAGCGGTGTCCCCACTAGACGAACCCTGGACAAAACTTGTGTGATGATCTGGCGACAAGTGATCCCAGTTTGGCGTACAGACCTCGGCTCTACAACTTGCGGAGGGCGTTGTTCCTGTACGGACACGCCCTTTTGCGTCTGGGGGAAAGGGGAAAGAGACCAGACACAGCACCTTGCGGCAACGTCAACTGTCCCCACAGCGGAATCGTAGCTTTCAGTGGAGTGCAGTGTGATGGGTACAATAACTGGTTTCACATCAGCTGTGCTAAAACAACGAAAAGAGAACTCGCAAAACTCCCTCAATTTTTCTGTACTAGTTGTCATCAACAGCCTTCTAACGGATTTTCAGGCTTATCACAGATGATGACAAACATGACAGTTAAAGAGAAAGGCATTGACGACCAGAAAAAGGCTACCGAGCTGAAAGAACTATCGGACCTGCCTAAGATTGATGTTTCATCAAACTGTTTCCCTCCTGCCGATAATTTTGGAGGAACAAATTTAAACCAGTTTGCCGCCGGAGTTGAAACTTTTTATGAAAAATTTGTTTTCATGAAAAGAAATTTATTTAACCTCCCTTCAGAAAATGCTGCAAAGCTGTTTATCAGGGAGCTCACGTTCTGGCTGAAATATTTTAATTCTTCAAACTCAAAATACAATTCCATGGCTATGAAAATTTTCTTGGTGCTACCGGATTACTGCTACAGAAACCCTTCCAGACCTCCAAATGCAAAGATCACACTGAAGCACTTTCTCGGCGCTTAGAAATGTGGAAACGCGGAGATATAAAGGGTCTAGCGGATGAAAGTTATTTTATTCAAAAACGACTAAAGACCACGCAACGCAACAACTCATCTGAAGACCAAGCTCGTGTCTTTGCCAAACTACTTCTTCAAGGGAAAGTCAAAAACGCATTGAAGCTATTAGAAGAAGATCCGAGCGTTGGTTGCCTTCCCTTCACAGAAACGGTTGAGAAGGAACTGAAGCAGTTGCACCCAACCATGGCAGTTCCCGACAGAACAGCACTTTTTTTTGGGCCAAAGGAAACCATTCCCGAAGTAGCATATAAGTCCATCACAGAAGATGTGGTAGCAAAAACTGCAGGAAGACTGAATGGATCCGCTGGTCCATCGGGATTAGATGCTGAAGTATTCAAGAGAACGCTTTGTTCAAAAAATTATGCCAAAGACGGAAAAATGCTGAGAGAAGAAATCTCTTTGATGTGCTTCAGATTGTGCACCATGCACCACTGCACCTGGTTACACTTGCGCCTTTGACGTCTTGTCGTCTTTTAGCCCTTGATAAGAACCCTGGAGTGCGACCAATAGGGTTTGGGGAAGTTCTCCGTAGACTTCTAGGCAAATGTATTGTCCACGCATTCAAAGACCCTATCAAGGAAGCCGCAGGAAACCTGCAAACATGTATCGGATTCAAAGCCGGTGCATAAGCTGCTATTCATGCTATGAAAGAACTCTACGAGGAAGAGAACTCGGAAGCTGTGATAATGATCGACGCCTCAAATGCCTTCAACTCCATGAACAGAGCAGTGGCTCTAAACAACATACAAGTACTGTGTCCAACGATTGCCACGTATACAATAAACACATAAAGGCAGCCATCGCGCTTTTTTGTGATAGGAGGTGGGGAATTAAAATCAAGTGAAGGAACCACGCAAGGAGATCCACTCGCGATGCCCTGGTTCTCTATCAACACCAGACGACTAATCAATGTACTTGCCGAACAAACTGAGGTGAAGCAAGCATGGCTGGCAAATGACGCCACCGGATGCGGAAGCATTGCGAATTTATGGAAGTGGTACGGGAAACTAATTGAAGAAGGAAAAAAAGATGGTTATTTTGTTAACAAACTGAAATGCTGGCTGGTAGTAAATGCTCTATGTTTAATGGAACAATAAATGTCACTACGACCAGCAAAAGGCACTTGGATGCTGCACTTGGGTCTCAAGATTTCCAGACTGCTTACTGCAAAGATAAAGTTGAAATATGGGCTAATGAATTGAACGTGTTGAGTGGGTTCGCCGTTTCACAACCACATGCAGCATTCTCTGCGTTTAGCAAAGGATTTAAATCAAAGTTTACATTCTTCTTTCGGACTATACCTGAAATAGCTGATATGCTCGAACCAATAGAATGTGTTCTGGAGAACAATTTTATTCCAGCGCTTTTCGGGTGTGAGTCCCCGCTGGAAAACAAGAAAATACAAATTATTGGGTTACCAATAAGCAAAGGCGGTCTTGGCTTTGGAGCGCTAAAAGAAGAAGCAAGATTTCAAAATGAAAACTCAAAAATCTCAAAGCCCCATAAGCAAGACATCATTGACCAGCTTTCGGATACCACTCTCGAGTATAGCGACGAAAGAAAAAAAATAGCAACTCGGAAACATGAAAGAGAGAAAGAATTAGAAAAAGCAGTCTCACAATCACTTACCACCGAAAAAAAGGAAGTGGAAACAAATCACAGACAAGGGAGCTAGTACCTGGCTAACCGCCCTACCTCTAAAAAGCCAAGGAATGAACCTCGCAAAAACCGAATTTCGGGACTCGCTGAGATTACGATACAATATTCCCCTGCAAAATATCCCCCGCAATTGCCCATGCGGAAAAGCTTTTTCCGTTGATCATGCCCTGTGCTGTAAAAAAGGTGGTTTCATATCCGCGAGGCATGACAAACTTCGGAACCTTCTTGCAGGGTCGCTAAAAAGGATATGCAACAATGTGGAAGTCGAACCACAACTGACAAAAATTGATAACGAATTATTCAGACTACAAACCACATCAACTGAAGATGACGCGAGGCTAGACATCAAAGCTAGCGACTTTCGGGAGACTGGACAGACTACGTTTTTGACGTTCGGGTCACACATGTTAACCAAGGCGCCAAGGCTACAACTGAAATCTTCAAATCACAAGAAAACGAGAAAAAAAGAAAGTATCTGGAAAGAATTGTCGAGGTGGAGAACAGTTTCTTCACGCCACTTGTCTTCGGTACTAACGGGGGCATGGGAAAAAAATGCAGCATTTTTCTCAAACAATTAGCTGTTAAACTTTCCCGGAGCGAAGATGACAGCTCTTATTCAACCTGTATCAACTATTTGAGAACTCGTCTATCATTCTGTATATTAAAATCTGTTATAATGTGTATTCGAGGTACCCGTACACCATTCAACAGTAGTTCAGTATGCCAGGAATCGTCATTAGCGGAAGATTTTCGGTTGAACTCAGCAGCTGCCAATATCGTCTCATAAATTTTATTAGTTTTATATACCCGTTTGTTTCATTGTATTTCTGTAAATACGTTTTGTTGTCGATCTTGTACAGTTTCTTCTAAAAATATGTGATTTGTTTTGTACGACGAGGCATTTAATGCTGACTTATGACTTCATTGCTGATATATATGCTTTTTTATATCGCTGGTATGGCCCTATCCAGCTTGTGCACTTACCGTAACTAAACGGAAGGGTCCCTTTTGTAATTAAGTTTTTTTTAAATGACCATACCCTTGTTTTTAAATGTTTATAAAGGCCTCGCAAGGCTTCACTGGAGTTCTGTAACCAAGCCTGGTACCCGCGGTTAAAGATCAACACTAGATCATTCGAAAATAAGCAACGACGAGCGAGCAAGGGCTGCAGACACTAGGCTACATTGAAAGGTTAAATAAATCCTCACTTGAATTCCGCAGTAGGCGAGGAACTATGATCGAAGTTTTCAAAATAGGTTACAACAGTAATGAACCAAAAGCTACAAAAGTCATGTTCGAATTGAACAATACTGACTCAAGGACAAACGACAAGAAAGTGATAACGAAGGAGGCCAGCCTCGAATTGCCGAAAAACTTTCACATCATTAGATCAGCTACAGATTGGAGTATGTTGCAAGGAGAAGTAATTGACTCGTAGACCTTGAACGCTTTCAAGAAAACCTGGACAAATATCAGAAGAAAAGCGGAATTGATAAGTTTTAGATGAATTAATCGAAAAAGAGTATACATGAGCTGATCGATAGAGGCGATAAAAACGCCTAAAAGATCAGAAAACAACTGAGCTGAACTGCAAAAGAGTTCACTCAGCTTCAAAATTCACTGCCGATGGTAAAAACTGGCATTTTCATACCCGGAAAACCCTGTTAGGTCTTCGTTACAAATTTTTGATCATTTCACAGAGGTTAGCTCTGATCATTTGCTCTTGGCCCAACTAAAAATTTGGATTTGTGTTGTTGTCTTAAATCACCCTTCAAGACAGGATTTTGACTGGAATACGTGATGAAGGCACTCCTGACTGTAACCGCGGTTACTATGATACTTTGACCTTCTGATTACCTTTTAAAACAGGTACTTTAGAAGGAAAGACCTGATTTTGCGCTTAATCTTGTCCACCAATGTTTGTAGAAGTTTTGTGGTAAATTTGTATTAATTGCAGCTTTTTAATGTCAGTCTTTGGCTTAATAAGCGAATGTTGCAAGTTTTTTGTATCTCCGTTCAATGTCCGTGTGACAAATCCAAGACTGTACAATTGACAAATTCCGAAAAATATATTTCAGAGTATGGAACGGAGTATAGAAGAGTCATCGACTTCGCCAGTTGGTCTAACAGTATCTCAAGATGAACCTACTGGCTGTGGTGCATGGGCGCTTTTCAATCCCCACTTTCGCATGCACCGATTTTTTGTCCTTTCCTTTATATGCTTCCTCAGTTTTGGTTCATATTTCTGTTATGATATGCCGGCTGCATTAGCTGACCAAATCCAAAAAGATATGGATGTTTCAGCAAGTAAATACACGCTGTTATATTCTCTTTACTCTTGGCCCAATACCGTTTTATGTTTTTTTGGTGGATTTCTTATTGATAGAGTGTTTGGACTCAGAGCTGGAACACTTATTTTTAGCGGATTCTGTATCGTTGGACATTTCATTGTATCTACTGGAGCTATGTTGGGACCAGACTATTACTGGATAATGGAAGCCGGTAGATTCGTTTTCGGTATTGGCGGCGAGTCTTTGGCTGTAGCCCAAAATGCTTACAGTGTCAGTTGGTTTAAAGGGGCGGAGTTGAACATGGTTTTTGGTTTACAGCTGAGTTTCTCACGATTGGGCTCGACGCTTAACATGAATATAATGACTCCAATTTATAACAGCTTCCGCAGCTCTTTTCCCTCATTCGAAGACTACGAAGTCTTGGGCGCTGCTCTTTTTGTAGGTTTTCTTCTGTGTATCTTCTCATTTATGTGTGGTGTGATAATGTGGATTCTAGACAGTAGAGCTGCCCGTATTTTGAAAAGGAAAGATGCGGGTACCGGAGAAGTTATCCGAATAACAGATGTGGGCAATTTCCCCGCATCGTTCTGGCTGCTTTCAATCATATGCGTTATGTTCTACTCCGCTGTTTTCCCCTTCATTGCGGTCGGCAAAATTTTCTTTATGGGTAAATTCAACTTGAGTGACTCAAGTGCGTCTTTATTGAACAGCATCGTTTATCTTATTTCGGCTGGCGCCTCTCCGCTTTGCGGATTCTTAGTCGACAGAACTGGTCTCAACATAGTGTACCTGCTGATATCAACTATTGGAACCTTGGTAGCGCATATGTTGCTGGCATACACTTGGGCGAACCCTTGGATCGCCATGATCATTATGGGCATCTGCTATTCTCTTTGCGCCTGTGCTTTGTGGCCGATGGCTGCACTAATTATTCCCAACCATCAACTTGGCACTGCCTACGGTATGATGCAAAGCATCCAGAATTTGGGTTTGGCGTTGGCAACATTGATTAGCGGAGCTATAGTGGAAAGTTCTGGCTATTTAATGCTTGAAGTGTTCTTCATTTGCTGCGTGTTTGTCGCTATCATTTCCACTGTGGTTTTGTTCCTTGTTGATGATTACTACGGGGTAGGGTTGAATCTCACTGCCAAACGAAGGCTCAAGATAGAGATGGAAGAGCGAGACCGAGCAGAATTGATGACAAACCACTCTGAAGTGTCATCGCAGGCTGACGGATCGATTCATGCAGAGATCAATTACGACGTTTTGTCACAACCGAGAGATGCAAATGCTCTCCGTCATCGTTTGTACTCGTTCGTCGCTCCTGAAGCGGAAGAGCCGGTGGAAACGTTCAAAGCCAGGACTACTTCCTTATCACGAAGATCAGTGGTTTCATAATCGATCAAATAACTTTCGCACTTGGACTGAAATAGAGAGAAGAACTCCCTTGGGTACCTCTCCTAAATTCTTTGATATTATAATTTCTCATCAGCTAGGTTTCTAATGTTCAATGAAGATGTTTTAAAGAAAAACTTTTAACCCAAAATATTTTTCATTTTTTCCCCCAATTTTCCATAAAATTTCTAACTGTCTATCTGTTTTACGTCAAATTTTACTGGTGCTGAAGATTTTACTGATAGAATTTAAATTTTGTTTTCGTTCAAAGAGTGTCCTAGAAATATAATGGGTTTGCTATAATTGTACACGTGTTATTAGAAATCAGACCAGCAAGTCGCTAAACCGAGGATCTGTCAGTGGTCACCGTTAGTTGGTGGATATTATCATGCTTGTTTTTCTTCTCTTTGGTCATGCTAGTTAGCTCGCGATGTTTATACCCATGCTTGCTGAGTTAAGTAGTTGTTACTGGTCGCGTTTCTAAATCAAAATTGCAACAAGTGAAATTGAATTACAAATCACAGTCAAATTATAATTTCCTTGATATCTTAGTTACTGTAAATTGTGTTTATTAGTCATTAGTTAGAATTAACGATATTCCAGTAATTGTTCCGTTTTGCCAGCAGAGTAGAAGAGGTAGAACAAAAAACTGCATTTTGGCTTCGTTTTACGGAAGATATGTGTTTCAGATGTCCTGATACTGAATAAAGAGCTTATAACTTGTCGTTGTTGGGAGATTACCTCACACCGCAATTTGATTTGGACCCGATTCATTTGAAATCTCAATGGCGACTGATCAGTGCATGTCGTTATGGCCGAGGGTGAAATCGGTGCTCGTGTCCAATCGAGAAAACCAGAAGATGTTGCAAGATGTCTACAGCAACTACAACATCCCAATCGAGATCAGAGAAAAGTTCCCTACCTTCATAGAGGAAGTTTTCCTCCCCAATTTCCCTGAAGATGGTCCAGGGGGTGAATTGACACCATGTCAATCGTCAAATGTAGACAGTGACAATGCACAGAGGCTGCTCGAATTCATGATTGCTGGAGTCTCCGCGGATCTAAACTCGAGTTCTCAAGGTATTGTTGACAATTCATTATTCAGTAGTGTTGCTCAGACATGAAGCTTATTATTTGAGGCGATATATGCGGGCTGTAAATTTTTTTGTAGCAGCCATTCAATTTGTTGCGAAACTTCAAAAGAATGGTTGTTGTTTAACGAACCGCCCAGCTTTCAAGCTTGGACCTTTTATTCCGTGGAGAAGAGAGATGTCATCCATTTTGCCGCAGCCGGTCCCACCTTGAGGAGGCGGATGACACTGGGACCCGTCGAGCCCATGACTTTTGTGTTTCAGACCGCGCATCTTACCCGTTGTTGTGAGGACGAGAAAGTGGGAGGAATTTAATCATCGGGTGTCTTGTAGTTCCTGTTTGATAAAAACAGTCATTTTGAAAATGTATGGGGTCGGGTTTTTTATTTTCTTTAGACGCTTTCGAAACTGTCTTTTTTTTTTTTCAAAAACTTGGTTTTTCTCAAAAACTACTCCACCGCTTTCCAAAAAATTGGTACCAATGGGAAGTCCGCCAACTCCCCTGTGTGCCTGCATAATCCCTTAGTTTCTTTTTACCTTACCCCACTTTCTACAGCCTTCGCAAAAGTGTGTGGGGGAAAATTTTAGGTTTCCCAAATTTTTAGGTCTCTTAGATTTTCTCGAAAACTACCCGCCCAAATCTGACATTTTGGGTTCAACGGATAGAACATGTTGTGGGAAGCTTCCCTGCATAAGCGGCTAAACGTTATAGCCCTCTGAAAAGTCATTTCGACTTTTTGACCGTTTTTAACGCTTGCGATTAGCAAGCTTTATCAAACTAGAGTTAGACTTTTCCGGGTTAACAATTTGTTTAAAAGAATAATTTGAATCACTTGTATCTTGGTTCAAAATGAATTCAAACTTCTTTGCTTTCCCAGCCACTTAAGCCTGTAACGATTATGCCTTGGACGGCAAAGGTCCTGGGTTCGAATCTGAGTTGGACCTGTTTTTTTTCAAACAGGAAATATTGTTTCAAATAAAATTGTCGGCCGATTATTTGTCTGCTTATTTGTCGGCTTAGTTGTAGTGTCTTGGAATTGTTTTTTTTTTGCTGCGCGCATTTTTCTTAAATCCTACAATATGTAATTTTACCTACTTGATTCCCTGTTTTTTTTTGTTTTGCTAAAAAAATTCCTCGGCCTAAATTAATTCGGACTATTTTTCATCGGCCTAATGACCTAATTTTGGGTCGTTTCAAGGGAAACATAATTTAAACACTTCCTTGAAAATTATTTTTTTTGTTTTATTATTTTTTTTTCTCACACACTTCAACTGAGTTTATTACAGAAAGGTATCCATTGAAAGAGCGCCCACTGCCATGTGTGCCTGAATACTCCCCTAGAGTCTACTTGACCTCTCTGTTTACTGCCTTCGAAAAAGTGTGGTGGATTATTTGACCCATATTTTTGATATAAATATTTTTTCGTTTTCACGATAATTGCCCCTCTCAAATCTGATATTGTGGTTTCAAGGGATTTAACGGGCACTGGTCTTTTTTCTATATTGTATTATTTTTTGTTTTGTATCGCAAGTAGTGCGAAGCTCAGCTTCGCCTCTGTGTTGAAACTTTTTGTTTTTTCTCGAATGACAAGTTATGACCCTCGAAAAGTCAAATTTTTGATTTTTTGGCCATTTTTTGAAACTTTGACTATCTTTTCAAATCTGAGATGTTGGTTTCAATGGGAAGAACGAGTTGTGGAAAGTTCCCGTGCCAAAGTGGTTACGCCCAATTTTTATACACATCAAATTATGGCCCTCCAAAAGTCAAATTTTCGATTTTTTGACCGTTTTTTGAAACTTTTTGACTTTTCTCGAAAACTATCTTTCCAAATCTGAGATTTTGGTTTCAATTGGTAGAACGAGTTGTGGGAAGTTCCCCTGCCGAAGTCCGTTTTTGGAAACTTCTTGATTTTTCTCGAAAAATTTCCTTCCAATTCTGAGATTTTTGTTCTAATTAGCGGAACGTTTTGTGGGAAATCACCTGCATAAGCGGTCACATGGCTGAGTTTTTCACAAGCTTCATTACTTCGAATTGTACAGTGCTTTGTTTGATGGTGAAAAATCAAAATCCATTCGTTAATGTTAATCTTGCAGTTATTTCTTTGCATGGATTTATTTTGGCTTGAGGACATTTTTCCGTTGCCACCTGGCTCCTAACGACAAGCTTTTTGATGAATTTCAATTTCTAAATTTTCAGAAAATGTTTCCAAAAAAAATCAAAAAAAAATTTTATCATCTTTTCCAAAATTTTTTCTGACAATTTTTTTGTTGGTCGAAATTAGGGTAAAGTCCGAAATTCGTTGTGCCAGTTCGAGCCGTGATACCGTCATTCGTGTCGAGCAAGTTCTTGGAGTGACTCCATACCTCGGTTTTCTCTAGTTGTTAAATAATCTCATAAAAAAAATGACTTGACTGAACAATTGTACTTTTTTCCGTTTTGTTTGTATTTTTTCCAACGCGAATTGGATTGTGAAAAAAAAGAAGCAGGTTTTGTGAGATTTTTTTTTTGTGACATTTTGCTAATTTTTTTTTCAAAAACTAGTTTTCTCAAAAACTACCTAACCTAACTTATTGCTCGAAAACTGCCCTCCCAGATCTGAAATTTTGGGTTCAATCGAAAGGACGGATTGTGTGAAGCTCCCTTGCATAAACGGCTAGGACCAAAGTGCTTTACAGGATACATTATGAGCCTCGGAAAAGTCAGTTTTGATTTTTTGACCGTTTTCAAAAACTTTTTGACTTGTCTCGAAAACTGCCATCCCAGACCGTTTTTTCAACTTTTTTAGGCTTTCCTCTAAAACTTCCCTCCCAAATACGAGATTTTGAGTTTTATGGAGAGAACGGGTTATAGGAAACTCTCCTGCATAAGCGGCTACTTCAAATTTTTTACTCAAAATGTTACGCCCTCGGAAAAGTCAATTTAGTGATTTTTGACAGTTTTTTGATTTTTTTTTGAATTGTCTCGAAAACTAACTTCCCAAATCATATTTTGGGTTGAACAAAAGAAATGAGTTGAGACAAGCTCCTCGGTATAAGCGAGGATGTCGAAATTTTCAAACAAAAACGTTATGACGCTCAGAAAACTCAATATTTTGATTTCTTGTCTGTTTGTGGAAACTTTTTGATTCTTTTCGAAAACTGCTCAGCCGAATCTGATATCAAGGGCAACAGGTTGTGGGAAGCTTTCATGCATAAGCAGCGACACCCTAAAACATAAACGAAAAGTTTTTTCAATTTCTTAAAATTTTGACTTTTGTTATATTAGAGAAACAACTAAGGTTTTGGGTGAAGCCCAAGTTTTGAAATTACCGATTTCATCCCGCATCAGTACAAATTCAAAAATTATCCAACAGATACCTTCACCTTTAGCTGGACCATTGTTAGATACTCACTTATAATCATTAGAGAGGCTCGAGTGATATATCATGATAAAGCCCTTGAATACGGGAAAGTTTTTTAGAAAACGTTTACTCAGTGTGGAGAAAAACCGGTTGTAAATTTTTGCTTCTTTGTCTAATTTCACGCGGGTAAAGTGAGCTAGTTATGTTTATTCATAGAAAGTTACTGAAACAGTGAGAAACCAGTCTTACTCAAGAAATGTGTTGCTCTAGTCTTACTAAAAGCTTTCCCGTTTCAATGAAAAGATTTCAAAAATTCAATAAAAATCTGCTAGATTAATTATAAAAAGATAGACGATTAATTTATTGAACTTTCCTCTTTCCTCCCATCACACCACGCGCTCATGTTTTTTGTTTGCTGGTTCTATGGGTTTAATTTCAGGCGATCAGATAAATCGCAGTTTGTAGGGTCCTTATTATTGGTGTCCCTTGATTTTGCGCTGTATCAGAGAAGCCGATAGTTAGGCATGTGAAAGTAAAGCGTGGTCTTGCACCGTGAAAAAACGTTGACCTTTGACCGGAAGTCATTTTGTGCCTAATTAGTCGTTCTATCTCAATAAGTTTTCGAATAGTTTCCCTGACCCTGAATTGATTGTTCGCCAATATTTAACGTGGTATAATGTCATTTCTAAAAGCTTCAAACGGTGGAATTGAAGCTTTGAGCAAGTGTTCTTGTTTGTAGAATCTAAACAATGTCGTTTAGTTTTGACTTTTGTGGTGAAATATTCAGCTCGAAATTGATTGTAATTTGAATACCAATTTCCCACAGTTATCGAAACTGGTGAATGATTCACCTGTTTTGAAAAACATGCTCTCGAAAGCATGTGTCTGAAAAACATGGAAGACCATTTTGATTGCGACTCATGACCATTTTTTGTCCCTCGAGTATAGTAAGAAATATGTTGTTATGGGTGATCTTGGAGTAATATTTTTATTGGGATCATTAGCCACGCGTCATTCGTAGATCATATTCAGCCGTAGCTATGATAATCATAAATTTAAAAACAACAATCCGGAAATTCCGCTAATATCTCTTGTTTGCTTTAATAAATTTCGTTTTGATTAAGATTCAGAATGTTCTACCTGGCAGAAACATAAATTTTTGGTGGAATATGATTTAACCAACTTGGCTCGAAATATGTTTCTTAAAATATTTAATACTATTTTTGGTGGACTTAAACCCTTGTAGTAAACCCATGGCAATGGATATTCGAATGAATTGGTTCAATCTTCTACCATTTTTGTAAGGTGTAAATAATCCCAAATCCATAATTTTCAAAAAAATGCTTTGGAGAGATGAAAGCAACATCCTCGATTGCTGAATGATTGAAAATCTGTGTTTCCATTGCTGCCTGAAACAAGATTTTTAAACTTGGCTCTGAGGGGTCTTAGATGGTTTTTGAGATCATCATGTTTGAGACGTTTCTGGGGATGTCGGTCAAATAGTGCCGTGGTGAAAATTGCGTGGCCATAGAATTTACTTAGTAAATTTTACGGCCATGCGCTTTAAAACCTCGGCATTAACTTGACCGACATCTCCCAAAATCGTTTCTGGTGAGAATCCAATGGTGGTTTTAAAATAATTTATGGTGTCTGTTTCTCACGTTAAATTCTAGCTGATAAGTACCACCTTAAATACCAGTCCATGTATCTCACCTTATTATCTCAGATTTTTAATTGCAAGTCCATTTCTTGATTTTTTTCTTTTGATATTAATTCTAGCATTCTCCGATTTATTCTTGTCGTTTAATATTCAAGCAGACTCCAAACCAATGCAGCTTTGATTCTTCAATAACTCCTGAAACGGTGTAAACTTGATAAAAAAGAATTGGGCGAAGATTTAAAAGTTCCACCAGAAAAATTGTATACTGCGAAAGCGCTTTCAATTAGCTCTCGGTAGAGAAAATGACAATACCCTTTTCTCCGTCGAATTTTAACAAAATTCCGTCCTGCGTTTCTGCCCATTATCTCTAATTTTAATGGTTCGGTATTCCTAAGGATCTTCGGCATCATTGTGTATCGTTGATACAGTATCGATTTAACATTTCTGAATGAAGACATACTTGTATCACTGGTTCTGGCTACAGTTTTTTTGTAACTTAATGCAACTGATTTTGAGAATTTCTTAAAGAATTTTAGTTGTTTCAAAGTGAGATCTTTATAGCGACTATGGACGGACATTTAGGCATGTGAAGTTAGATGAGTTATAACGGTATCCATTTTATTTTGCAGTGAATCTGGAGCTGCATTTAGTTTCAGTTCAAAGCCAAAAAAAGTTTGGTCGTAGCATATATATATTTTTTAAAAAGTATACGTCATAATGCAAATTGCAACCCCGTATCTTAGAGAAAAAAATACCGGAAAAATCAGAATATTTCATTGAAAGTTCAAAGAGTTTTTTTTATAGCGTAGAACGGATTGTTTTTTTTTCGTTCGGGGTATGGGTTATAAGAAATTATTACCAGTAAATAAATCAGATAAAACCAATAAAAATGCATTGTGAAATAGCATATGCATGTGTATTAAGAGTCATGAACGTAGTGAATACTCTTATATAGGTCTTGATAATTTTTTGTTTGTTTTTTTTTTTCAAGAAAAGTTTATTCACGCTGAAATTTAATTTTTCGCAGTTTGACTTTTGATTTCTTTTTAATTTAAGTTCATTTTTTTGTTGAAAGAAAATTCGTTCCTGCGTTTCTGCCCATTCGTCTCTAATTCGCAACGATTCGATTTTCCTAGGGATTTTCGGAATCATTGTGTCTCGTTGACGATACAGTGTCGATTCAACATTTCTGAATGAAGACATACTTGTATCACTGGTTCTGGCTACAGTTTTTTGTAACTTTATGCAACTGATTTTGAGAATATCCCAATTAATTTTAGTTGTAAAAGTGAGTTCTTTATAGCGACTATGGACGGGCATAAGGCATGTTAAGTTAGATGAGTTAAAAAGGAATCCATTTCAAATATTGAAGTGAATCTGAGCTGCATTCAGTTTTAGTGCAAAGTCAAAGTTTTTTTGGTTGTTGCTTCTGTTTTTCCCGCCATAATCCAAAGTATCCGTCATAATACAAATTGCAAATCCGTCCCTTTTTGAAATCTTTTTGACTGGTTTTTGAAAACCTGATACTTTTTGAATTAAATATTGATAAGTGGTTAACAAAATGTTGAAAAGTGAACAAAGTAAGACGTGAAAATTGCCTGGAAAGAATCAACTTATTTCTTGTCTTTGCCTCGAACTTTTCACACCTTTTTTATCTTCCTGTATGCCATTTGGTAAATTATTTGTTTTTATGTAATTTGGGAAGTTACCGTTAAAGAGTAGGCAAACTCCGCTATCAAACAGCGAAAGTTTCAAGGTCACGAAAAAGATGATCGTCTTCTAATTTTGAAAATCGGTTATAAATATCAGATGTTCCTGCGAAGCATAATTTTTCCTATTGATCCAGTGTTTTTTCAAATTATATTAGTTTTATCAATTAAGTATCAATCGTAAATTGTTGTAGAATATCAAAGAGTTTTAAGGTCATCTGTTTTTTGGAGTCGATGAACGTAGTTGAGACTCTTATATAGGTCGCGATGATTTTTTTCAGGCAGTCTTAAAAATTTTTCAGGCTGAAAAATACTTTTTTTGCAGTTTGACTTGATTTTTAATTCAGTTCATTTTTTGTTAAAAGGAAAGCAAACTCCACTATCGAACAGCGAAAGTTTTAAGGTCACGAAAAAGATGATCGTCTTCTAATTTTGAAAATCGGTTATAAATATCAGATGTTCCGGCGAAGCATAATTTTCCTATTGATCCAGTGTTTTTTCAAATTATATTAGTTTTATCAATTAAGTATCAATCGTAAATTGTTGTAGAATATCAAAGAGTTTTAAGGTCATCTGTTTTTTGGAGTCGATGAACGTAGTTGAGACTCTTATATAGGTCGCGATGATTTTTTTTCTGGCAGTCTTAAAATTTTTTCAGGCTGAAAAATACTTTTTTTGCAGTATGACTTGATTTTTGATTCAGTTCATTTTTTGTTAAAAGGAAAGCAAACTCCACTATCGAAAAGCAAAATTATAAAGTTCACGAAAAACGTAATCGAAATCTTGTTTCGATTGTGGAATTTAATTATCGAATTCCCTAGCAAAATAAAAATTTTACTCCTTGATCCAGTTTTCTCAAATTGGGTTTATTTTATCAAAAATGCCAAGATAAAATTGTACTGGAAATTTAAAGAGCTTTAAGCGGATCTATTTGTTTCTTTGAAGTTCGAAAATTTTTTCTAAAAAATAAGTCCGTCTTTTTTTGTTTGCTTGCGTTCATTGTCTTTTTCCTATTGTCTGCGGGCTATGTTTCAAGATTTAATAGTGGTTCCAAGCGACATAACAAGACGCAAAAAAGTATTTGCTCAACAAAAATACTAAGGGAAATGGTATAAAAGGAGTATCCTTAGAAGGCCTGAATAGCTCTGAGAAATCCTCTGCGAATCGAAGGAAAAAAAAAACATTTTTTAATTTCTAGAGCAGGAAAGAAAGAACAAATGCTGCCTTGTTTTTGAGTTTGAGTTCAAGCGAGAAATTTTGATTTTCTTGTAACACTGTTTCACTAGTTTTGTTTGTTGATAAAGGTTCGGAGGAGGCGATCATGATGAATTTGAATCTGCAGAGTGTTCTGGACAGACTAAAAGCATATCTGGACCAGGATCCGGAGATCTTCAAGGCCAGGATGCAGGCATGTCTCAATGAAGAGTTGCGAATGGTTGCCATCACAGGCGCATCTAACGGGGAGGCTGCTTTCATGAATGGAAGCGCGACAGAGCTTGTCGAACAAATAGACGAACAGCAGAAGAACTCCATCAGTATACATATCACAGAACTACTCAACAGAATTGCGTAAGACATGTGAAGATTCGCTCTTCGGAAAGTTCTCATTGATGATTAGTCAAAAAAATAGCGTAAAATATAGATTACCTCATATAAAGCTCAAAAAGTACTGTTTTTATAGCGTATAACGGATTTTTTTTCGTTCGGGGGATGGATTATAAGTACTTATTACCAGTAAATAAATCAGATAAAACCACTAAAATTGGATTGCGAAATAGCATATGCATGTGTATTAAGTGTCATGAACGTAGTGAATACTCTGATGTAGGTCTTGGTGATTTTTTTTCAGGAAAAGTTTATTTGCGCTAAAATTTAATTTTTCGCGGTTTGACTTTTGATTTCTTTTTAAGTTCATTTCTTTTGTTGAAAGAAAGGCAAACTCCTCAATTGAACAGCAAAAGTGTAAACGTCACAAAAAAGGTGATCGACTTCTAGTTTCGAAGCTGGATTTTAATTATCAGATTTTATAAAATTTCGATCATAAATTGTTCTAGAAATTCAAAAGAGCTGTAAGGCTTTTTTTAAACGAAATTCGAAGGATAAAAGTTTTTTGTTTTGAAATTTTTTATTTCTGTTTCCATGTGTTCACGACTTTTCCAACTGTCTGTTGACTGTGTTTTATTTGATCATGATTAGTTTTAAAAAGTTTTTACATATCGAGCGTGCTTAAAAACGTAACTTTGAGATGAATGATTGTTGCAAGTAAATAAGCACGTGTTCAACTCAAACCATGTAATTGAAGCAACTGTAGAGGTAGCTGACACAAAAAAAAATTAAGAATGCTACCCTACTCACTTCCAACCACATTGAAATTTTCTGTTTTGGTAGTGGGTTTATTTCTTCTAATTCACCATAGCTTGTTGGCTGACCTTGAAAATTGTCGTTGCATATTGACAACGCTTAAATAATTTGAGACAAAAAAAGCTATCTTTGTTGTTCAATCCTGAACCAAAAGTAGGGGAACAATTGATTCAACGAACACGCGCAACGAGAGATTTCTAAGTTGAATTTGAGTATCAAGTTTGAGTTTCAGACTGATAGCTAATTTCAGTGCTCGTGTGGACAACGAAGATGCTAACATTTCGATCATCCAAGAGACCCAGGAACACTTTTTCAACACAGTAGAAAACTATAAACGTAGAGAAGCCGAAGCCAAATTGTTCCGGTCTCGCTACGGCGACGGGCTCTCAATAACCAACTCAGTTGACAACATGATGCTGGGATCCCACCATCTCATGGGAGACCTGTCGCAGCCGGGTTCTGTCGTGTCCATGCACGAAGGTCACATGTCCGGTCCACAGAGTCCTGTAGACCCGCTGGCTAATGTGTTGGCGGCTGAAGCTCAAGCTCACACTGACGTCATAATGGCAGCAAAGACCATTCAGAACAACAGAGAAGCTGTGTACAACAGTCTAACTGGTACATTAATCAGATTAATTTTTTGATGTCTCATTTTCTATAGAGTTGCAACATGGTAGACGTCGACAACTAAATTCTAAACTCGAATTCATCATGGTTTCAAAATGACAGGTTGTTTTTATTTACTCAAGCAAAGCTTGTTTGATAGTATGAACTCTTTTTTTTTTCAACCTAAGTCGCAAATATTGTTGCGACAAAATGTGTTCATTTTGAAAGTGTTCATTTTGATCTTATATTACAAATAGCAATTTAGCTTCAAGATATCATGGATCTGTAGCGTAGAGGTAGGGAAGGAGACCCACAACAAAATAAGAGGGTGTGAACCTGGGCGATTTTAAATGAATTTTTCTTATACTAGTTAAAATGCGTCCGCTCTGTAAATTGAGGCATGTTAGTTGGTAAATTTCTTTTTTACAAATTGAGTGGTACAGATAATGCGTCATAAGTGGCATGCGTCAGTTAGCACTTGTGTAGACTCATAATTGGCGTTAGTCACTTAAGAAGATTTGTAGACTCAAATTTTTACTCATTCAGTTTTTCCCAGTAGCGTTTTCGGTCCTATTTTTGCTTGTGTACGCGAAGTACAAGTTCGCCTCTGTGTAATATCTAAATCGCAGATCGAATCCAAGACTTACCCGAATTTTTACTAATTCGAGGCTTATTTCTACTTCTGATTGCTTTTTATAGAGCTGATTTTTTGTCGTGTTCTCGCTAGTGTTTGAGAAGTGCAGCTTCGCTTGTGTCTACTTTGTTTTAGTGACAGTTTTCTTTCATTATGAAGTGTTTTTTTTCAACTTCATGTGGCCTACCGTAGTATTGAAGTGTTAATTAATCCGAACGTTGAAATTTTTAAAACTTAGTAACTTGTCTAACCGAATCAGTAAATCATCTGATAGTGTGATTCTTATTTATTGTAATTTCTAGAACGGGTCATGCACTTTTCCGTGCAGGAGCTGTTTTTTTTAAAGTTGGAACATTTTAAGACTCATATCTGCTTTTAGACTCATATCTGCTTGGTCATGCTTTAGACTCAGATCGCTGGGTAAATTATGAAAACTCGGTATTCATTACTGGTAGTTGTTTTTATGACTTTTTTCTGAGAAATTTTCATTTTTGCACCCTGATTTTTTTTTCGTTTTTATGATTAACGCCCAATTTCTTTTCGCTAGCTTGCAATGCTGCGTTTGCGTTGTATCGCAAGTGATGTGAAGCTCGCTACGCCTCTGTGTTTTACCTATGCTATAAGCGAGTATATTGTAATCGGGTACTAGAGCTATTGCCGTAAATAGCTTTGTTCAGAGGATCTCCAAATTTAAGATCTCCAGTTCTAAATCAAGTGACCGTTTTTCTGGTTCAAGAGCTACTGAAGTGATACTGGGCTTACAGCTAAAAAAATTATGATTTAAGTAGTTTTTTTGTTGGACTTATGGATTTCGTCCCAATTTTTGTCGGCTGACTTGCCAGGTGTTTAATCGTTTTTTTTTATACTTTTCCATTTCGATACTTTTCCAGCGTAACTATAGTTCATGGGTTTTTGATTGCATTTTAAGTTTAACTCAAAATTCTGGTTATTTTTGGCGTTAAACGTTCAGTTTATTCGGATGCCTGGTTTCTCAAAAATCTGGTTGATTTGAAAGTGTTTGTATTTTGTTTTAAACGTTTTAGCGTCATAATTAAGCTTGAAGAACTTCATTTTGAATCGATTCAAGGTGATTTTTTTGTCTTTTTAATTGTAATTTTTTGTTGAGTCTTGTCTACAAAATTATATGCCGAGTTTAGCACGAGATTCAATTTACTGGTTATGTCTGGCTGATTTTTGCAAAAACAAAATATGAATTTTTGTGTCTCATCAACGACTCTTTTGTTCTTTTTTGGTATGATTTAGCTCTCTTAACGTTGTATCAATTTTATTTTTTGATAAGATTGATGTAATTGAGTAAGATTCATAAGCTTTCGAAGATTTTCTGCAAAATTCATTTTTCATTCTTCTCTCGTTTTGGTCTTATTTTATAGCTACCAATAGGTAGCTTTTCGATACGCCCAAGTTTTCCTGATGAACATGCAGTATGTTTAATTCCAAGATTTTTTATGATAAATTACGGATTTTGATCGAAATTTTCCTTTTTTCTTAGCCTTTCCGACTATAAGTTATGAAAAGAAGTGAATAAAGTTGAGAGTTGTCCGAATCCGTTTTATGTATTAGATAATTAATTTCTGTAAGTAATGCAAAATATATTTTTTTGATTTTTATTCCACAATTCGTTCAACAGCATTAGTTTCACTTATCTAATGAGAAAGATTATATTTTGAACTCTGACGTTTTGTTTTTTATCGTAATTGGTGCGAAGTTTCTCTCGCCTCTGTTTAAATTCTGATTGCTTTAAATGGGCGGGAAAGTTTTTAAGAGTCGTCGAACGTAGCTTAGACTCTTATAAAGATCGTGGCGTTTTTTTTCATGAAAAGTCCTAAAATGCTATAAAAGCAAAAGAAGATTATTCATACTTAAAATGCACATATAAATGACCTTAGGTATATGTGATTTTTTTGATTTCATTTCGTTTTCATTTGCTAAAGAGTAGTCAAAATGCACTCGCCAACTATGAAAGCTGAAATGATGCAAAAAACCTGATCGGTTTCTACTTTCTAAAGTGGAGATTAATTTTAAGATTTCCCAGCGGAATAAAAACCTTTTCATGAAAATCGGGTCGAATTGGGTTGATTTTATCAAAAAAGTGCCCATTATAAGTTGTTCTAGAAACTCAATGAGCTTTAAGGCAATAAATTTTTTTGCTTAAAACTGAAAAGTTGAAATTTTTCAAAAAAAAACCAATGGTTTCAGAGTAATCAATGTAGTGAGTACTCTTATATAGGTCTTTTTTCTTTTTCAGGAAAAAGTCTTTAGATTTGTTCACGCTCAGTTTTGATTTTTCGCGGTTTGACTTTTGATTTTTTTTAAGTTCAGAGCATTTCTATTGTTAAAAGGAAGGCAAACTCCACTATCGAACAGCAAAAGTGTAAAGGTCACGAAAAACGTGATCGAATTCTGATTTCGAATATGGAAATTAATTATCAGATTTCCTAGCGAAATACAATTTTACTTATTGATCCAGTTTTCTCACATTGGCTTAATTTAAACAAAAAATTGTCCATTATAAATTGTTCTACAAACTCAAAGAGCTTTAAGGCCATCAATTTTTATTCGAAATTCAAAAGCTGATGGCTCTTGATAAAACAAGTCAGTTTTTTTTTCAGTTTCCTTGCGTTCATTACTCTTTTCCAACTGTTAATTGGCTATGTTTTGTTTTTTTTTGCGATCATTGACTCTTTTCCGAGTGTCTGTTAGCTATATTTTATTAAAACATCTCATTAATTTTACAATATCTTTGTGCAGATACTGTTGGCATGATAGAAGTTTTGAAGAAGCACATTCTGGTTCAACTGGTCGAGTGGTGTTCGAAACAACAGAGCTATGCATTGCCGCTCACTTTCTCCTCATGTGGTGCAAATAGTGCCTCCGCTGCAGCCTCAGTCAGCTCCTCCACTCCCGCAACCCCTGCTACCGCATCCCAAACCACCAGCATCGCAGCCTCAGCTGCTGTTGCTGTGGGCGCCGGAGCTACCCAAGTTTCAGGAATGGGCGATGGTTTCCACTCGATGCCGGAGTTGTTGGAACAGAATTTGAACAGAGATCTGGACAAATTGCAGTCGTGGTGTGAGAGTCTGTGTGATAGTGTACTCCGGACTAGACAACAGGTTCTAACATGCTTTAAGCGTCTTAAAACATCAACTGCTTAAATCACATTTAGCTTTCGCATGCTATATGTACATGTAATATATGAATTGATATCTGAGCTATTCATCAAAAGCTTCATTACAAAGAAACTACATAATGCTGTTTGTACTCAGTCACATTGATTTTAAATCTCAGCTTCATGTTCCTCTATTCTTAATAGCTGCCAATGTCGAGTTCAGATATGTGCAGCAATGTGAACTTAAGCTTTAAATAAAACGAACTTTTTTTCCTGTTTACCTGAGTGGATTTAGATATAACCGTTGTGTAGTTTTAGGTCGTTTTTTATTTTGAAAAAAAAATCTGAAAAATTGCTTTCGCCCAACTTTGATTTTTGTTCCGACCATTTGGAAAATGGGGAGGAACTTTGTATTCGTGTTTTAGTTTTATTTTTTCTTTTTTTTCACCCAAAATAAGCTACCATAAATAATCATCGGACAGAGTTGTGTGATATATCATATTAAAGCCCTTTCAGTCGTGATTCGAACAACATTTCAAAAAAGTTTTCCAGGTGTCGAGAAAATCGGTTTAATTTTTTTTTGTCTAATTTCGAGCGAGTTTAGCGAGCGAGCACGCTTATTACTCTTGCGAAGCAATGTGTTATAGTACGAAGTTTTTTCTGCAACAATATTTGCTGCGTCTTAAAGTAACAATATTTGCTGCGTTGAATTTGCTGCATCGAATTGGCAATAAGAAATTTTGATATTTTGTTGCACCTTTACAGCTTATTGATAAAATGTGCACAGTTGATAAGTTTACACAGTTGATGCATTTTTAATTCATCAAGTCAACCGAAGAAAGCTAGTTATTTCAAACAACATATCACTAATTAAATCTCGATTTCCGAAATTTTCTAACTCAATATTGACAATTTTTTGAAATGCATAATTTATGCTGTGGCGTTATGATTTGCAATTTTTTACATGCAAAATTGTATCTTTTTGTATTTGATGCAACTTTTGCTGCATCGAATTGGTAATTTATTAGCATATGTAGCTGCATTATTGGCGGCTAGTTTTGGGGGATTTTAAGCATCCGTGGCTGAATGGCTATTGCGTGAGACTCAAACTTGCTAGGTCGCAGATTTTTGCTAATTTGAAATTTTGCAAATTCGAGGCTTATTTCTACTTTTTCTTATGTTCACTTGATAGAGCTGCTTTTTGGTCGTGTTCTCGCAAGTGTTAGCGAAGCGCGCCTTTTTGGAATCAAAAATTCAAAATTTTTTTTCTTGCATTTTATTTGTTTTTCTAGTCATTTTTCTTTAAAAACTGTTGTCGTGTTTGCCTATGTTACTATGACTGTCGAATATGCCTTAATTATACTTATACATCCGAACCTTTTATCACACCACGCAGAAAAAAACACTACTTTGAGAAAAAAAATTCGTAGATTTTCAAAGACTGGTCGGAACACTCTGTACTACTTGCACAGTAACTGGCTATCCTTGTTTGAGGTTTGAATTTTGATTTTTTGCAAGTTCAATTCATAGTTCTTTGCTAAAAGGAAGGCAAATAACGCTCCCCAAAACCTAAAATGCAATTGGCGCGAAAAAACAGGATTGGCTTGTCAAGAGCTTGAAAGTCAAAAATTTTTCTCTTCAACTCGGAAGCCGGTCTTTTCTCCGGTGTCTTTTAGTTCTTTTAATTTTTTTACTGTGTTAGCTGTGCTCTAGAAGTTGAACAGTTTTCTTCCGTTTTTAGTGTCGTGAGTTTGTGCTTCTGAAAGAAACGGTGCCACTGCAAGCCACAGACGATGCTTCCATGCAGGCACTTCTGGCCAAAGTGAACTTCCTGCTCAAGGACCTGACCGAGAAGACATTCCTGGTCAACAAGCAGCCCCCTCAAATCCTCAAGAAAGACTCCAAATTCAGCGTCAGTGCCAGACACTTAGGTAACGACACAAGAGAAGCTTGGCTTACTTTTTCTGGATAATTAGTGCATAGGTTAACTGAGTTGGGCGCCAAATAAAATAGCTCTCAATGGAAATTTCTCACTAGCGCTGTAATAGATTGAATTATCTTTTGCACTGGCTCAAGTTGATGCTCCTTTTAGTGATGAATTTCGCCATTTTGAAACAATATTATTGTTAATATGCACTTCAATTCAAAAAGTTATGAGTCATTCCCGCTTTTGAAAGCCCTTCTCATTTTTTATCTGTTAATTATAGTCCTCAATGCTTTTTTATATATCTAAGTGATAGCTTCTTCTCACTTCCTGAAATGGAAACTACAATCTCTCAGTTGGCTTTTTGCATAGGCGGCATGGGAAAGCGTGAAGTGTTGTTAAGACTATAATCATCTGTGTTTAGTGGGGCACAAATTACTGGCATACTTGACCCACACTGCTGTGTCCCAGGGAAACACTCTGAACATGGGCAGTGTGAACATAGACCTGTATTACGACTACGTGGCTAAAAACATAGTGAACGGAGAGGCCCTTCCGAAGAACTCAGCCACCGCCGCCCTACTCACCAACAACCAGGCTAGCACTACAATTTCAGACACCACTTTCTTATACACTCTTTATCTCGCATGCTCTATTCTTGATTTGGCTAAAAAATGAACAATACAAGCGCGCGAAAAAATCCCGTTTTTTGCTCCCCCTGAATTGAAAATTATGTTAACGTGGTAAAAACTGCATGCGAATAGTGATTCTGATGAACGATTCCCTCAAATGAGCAAAATAAATTTCAGTTCTGCTTTTGAATTGATCCTTGAAGAAATCTGATTGTCTGATTGTGGTACAAATTATTTTTTCTAAGAAATTTTGTGTTCGTTGCTGTATAGGTTAAGAACGAGTCTAGCGCGGCGTCTAAGCAGGCGTGCACAGTATTTAAAAACTTGGTGCTGACTAAACTGAAGCGGACGGAAAAGCGCAATGCTCACTACACGGAGAGTGTGATGGAGGAAAAGTTGCGCTTTATTGTCCACACGGAAATGACCTTGACCTCCAGGAGTGACCTGATGGTACAGGGTCTCTCCTCCGTATTGGGAAGTAAGTGAAGTCAAATATTCTCTGCGTTGGTGGTGTGGTAGTGACGCAATGGGAGTCCTCTAAGTGGACCATCTTCATAGCTTGTAATATTTTTAAAATGCAGCTTTTTATTGCATTTCAATGGCTTGCCAGCCTTTTTTCTCTTATTTTTGACTAGAAGTTGATAACAAGAACCGAATGTAGCAACTATTCGTCTTCCGTTTAATTAATCTCATAACGTGCTGACGTGCCGTGTGTATTAGGCAGTCAGCTGCTGAAGGAGAATGACAGCATCACATTCCGACTTACTTCCATGTCTCTCCCAGTTGTGGCCATCGTGCACGGATCCCAGGAGCCCAAGGCGTCTGCAGTTATCCTGTGGGACAACAAGTTTTCCAATCAGTTCGTGGACCCCTTCAAAGTGCCCGACTCAGTCCACTGGCAAGTTTTCAATATCTTCCTCTCAAATTCGGTCATCTACCACTATTTATAACTATCTAAGCTCCGTTGCTTTAATCGGCAGCTTTTTAATGAAATAAAAATTATTTGTACATTAAGTCTTAATTTGTGTTTTAGGTATGAACTGGCAGACCTGTTGAACTCGCGCTTTGTGTTTGGCGGCGAAGTGAATAGACTGGGAGCGGAAGATCTCAAGTTCCTATGCAGCAAGTTATTTCACAACCAGCCAATGCCGGAGAACCCGAGCGACAAGCACAACAAGAACCTCGTGATCACATGGGCACAGTTTTACAGGGGACTGTCGCCCGGCAAGAACTTCACATTTTGGGAGTGGTTTTACGAGATCACAGAACTCATGCACGATTCAAGTTAGTCTCTTTGCACGCTTTATTTCTTGAACGGTTGTAGCCGAAGACTTGTTTGAAAAAAGTCAATGCGTCCCTTTCTCCGAACATGCAATCAATCTACTCTATGCGTGATGCTATTTGAAAAGTTCGGGAAAAGTCTACTAGTATAAGCCTTGATGTAATGTGGCTTGTGTTTGCGAAGTGCAGCAGTAGTAGGTAGTAAAGCAAGCATAACCCAGGGGCTAGGAGCAAAAATAATAATTCACTAACTTATAATTAAATCACTAACAAGTTCAACTTGTTCATATCTATGATCGAAAAATCCTTAGTCCTTAGTGGTTTAATATTTTTTCTCCTACCCGGACCCAAGCTCTTCACGACCCCCCCCCCCCCCCCCCCCTCCTGGGTTGAGCTTGTTTTACTACTTTTCACTTCAGCTCTGTTTCAAAACCAGTATCTCCAGCAGTTTATCACACAAGTGCAGCTTAAGGGTAATATTGATTATACGGAGCCATTTTTGCGGAGAGCAAAAAGATCTAATTTGAAGCAAGAATAAGATCATGCTTTTGTGTATTAGTTATTGTGACACGCGATCAAGTATTCATTGATTTTTTTAAAACTTTTACTAAATTGTATTTTTTTAAGAATAAACATGAAATACATGATTATGCATTGGTTTAGACACTAAGACGCCTTTGTACATCCGGGAGTTGTGGAACAAAAACTACATCAGAGGCTTCATTTCGAAGGAGGAAGCGAAAGATCTTCTCATGGCCACCCAGCAGCCGGGAACTTTCCTCATCCGATTCGCTGAGTCAGAAAAGGCTGCTATCACCATATCATGGCTGTGCTACTTGCCCGGCTCAGTCACAATGGAGGTACTCTTATTTGTACCCATCTATAAAAATCCTACTTCAATCAAGTTAATTAACTATTATTACAAAAGCAATGCTTGTGTTATAGTATGAACTATCTTTTTTTCAAAGTTAAGTCGCAAATATTGTTGCGACGCAAATATTGTTGCGTTAAAATGTGTTCATTTTGAAAGTGTTCATTTTGATCAATAACCAGCTACCAAGTACAGCCAATACTAAGGATTTTAACTCAGACTAATATTGTTCCGACTTTCGTTTCAAAATTTGTGCTTGGGGTGGTTTTTTTTTGACAAATTGCGCCGACTTTTTAACTAGCCATTTTTGACGGGATTTTATAATATGGCTCGAAAAGTATTGTTGTCCTGAGCTTAAATTTGTAAAGTTATTTCACCTTTTATATTTTTTGTTGAGTTATGGGGGGTTTAAAAATTACCATTTTGGCCAATTTGGGACAATTAACGCGCGATAGATTTCGCGCTATTAACGCGTAAGCGGAGATTTAATCCGTAATAGAACTCGTTCCAATTTGCTTGAAGAAAGCTTATTTGCCATAATTGATTTGTTACGAGGAGCAAAATTTATAACTTTGTACTTAATATGGCGTGTGGGGGGCTGATTAGTTGGTAAATTTCAAATTGACTGGTTCTGCTAATGCGTCATAATTGGCGTGCGTCACTTAAGAAATTTTGAAGACTCAAAGTTTTACTCATTCAGTTTTTCCCAGTAGTGTTATCGGTCATATTTTGGCTTGTGTCTTCGCCTCTGTATGAAAAAAATCGTATGAATGAACGAAGAGGTCGAGTTGTAGTTAAATGATGAAAAAATATACAAGCAAGTCTTATGTCTGCTCGGTTCAAAATTGAGGGTATCGGAAATCAAATTGAATAGGATAAGTGACCCAACGTTAAAATTTAGAATCTTACAAATTCTTTCGATTAATTTGTCTTAAGTTGTATGCAAACGACTTTCTCAGATATTCCATTTTCATTTGTTCTACAAATAAAGAACAAATACGTCTTTGAATACAACAATATGTCTAAATTCAATAAATTTGTCTAAAGAAAACAAAGGTGTCTTTACACAAGCGAAGCGTAGTGTATTTTTACGAAGAATTTTTTTCTAACCTAAGTCGCAAAAAAGTGCTCATTTGGTGGCACTAGTGGTATATTTCAATTTAATCATTTTTGAGCCTATTTAAGCATAGTCAGCTTAATAGAAGAATGAACGTAGTGAAGACTCTTATATTGGTCCTGCCGATTTGTTTTTGTTTTTTTTTCAGGAAAAAGTCTAAAATATTGATGCACTTAGGTATAATGCACTTTTTGAGTTCAATTGAATTTCATATGCTGAAAGTGACTCAAATAGCACTCTCCGAATACGAACGTGGAAATGGCGCGAAAACAACGTGAACGATTTCAAGTTTCGAGAGTAGTTAAGTTTTTAGATTTCTAGCGGTATAAAAACTAAAAACCTTGCCTGTTGAATCAGTTTTCTCAAATAGGGTTTATGTTATCAAAGAAGCGCCGGTCATAAATCGTTCCAGAAATTCAAAGAGCTTGAAGGGCATCTATTGTTGTCTTTGTAAATTGAAAGTTGAGATTTTTTCAGCAAAGGCAGTGTATTTTTTATGTTTGCTTGCGTTCATTACTCTTTTTCAATGCTTGATTGGCTATGTTTGACTAGTGTTAGTTCTTGTTTGAAAACTAGGTATTATGAAATGTATGGGACTACTGTACGCTTTTTCAAGGAATTGTACTAATGGACAACTCGGCTGCTCTTCTATGTGCCTGCATATTTTGCTAGTCTCTTTAAATTTTACTTCATGTTCTGCAGCCTTCGAAAGTTTCAGTAGGCAGATTTTCGACCTATTTGATTTGAATTTTTTCAAATATTAATTGCACAAATCTGAGATGAAGGTTTCAATCAAAAGAACAAATCTTGAGGATCTTCTCTTCCCAAGCGGTTATTCGCTAAATTTGGTAGAAAAAATGTATGCCCTCAAACAAGCCCATTGTTTGACATTTTGGATAATTTTTATAACTTTTCTGAAAAACTAGCCTGCCAAATTGAAGGTTAAGGGTTTAACCGAAAGCAAAAAGCAGTTATGGGAATCATCCCTGTCCAAGCGGCTGTTCTGCGTTTTGAAAATGTCCAATATTTGAAAGTTGCCCGTTTTTTGAAGTTTTTTCTTCAAAAACTATCCTGCTGAATCAGAGTTTGACAGTTTATTCAAAATAACATGGTGCTTAGATTTTCTCTGCTTTATCTGTTTCACCCTAGTTTTGTTGAAAACCGATATGGAATTCCGGAAAATCTTTGCTTGAAATTTTAAGCTAAATCTGATATAAAGGGTTCGATCTAAAAGTCAGGGCGTGGAAATTTTCCCTGCATATGAGGCTATTCTCCTGCTCAAGTAGAGAAACGTTTATGCATTCAGAAGTCAAGTTTTCGATTTTTTGATCGTTTTTTTTGGATTCTTTTTCACTTTTTTTGAACTCTACTCAACCAAATCTGAACATCCAGTATAAGTGACTGTGGCGCACATGCGAGTACGCGGGTGATACTCTTAACCATCAGGTCGGAGATTCAAATCCGGAACTTTGAAATAGTTTTTTGCTCGGATTTTTGCTGGTTTGTTGATGACTAGTGTTGGTAAAGTTTCAAGCGGTCGTGGAGCAGATGTGAGAACGTGGTACTCCTGATCTTAAAGTTGATATTCAAATTTTTTTAAAGATATATTTCACCTTGTTATTTTCGTTATTTCACCTTGTTTTGCCTGTTTAGAGCTCTTTTTTTGCTTTTTCCTCGCTTGTGTTAGCTAAGCGCAGCTTCGTCTCTGTGTAAAATAGGATGCCGGACGTCAAAAAGATATGAAATATGGTTACTTTGTACTTTGAAGCCTAGTTGAAGAATTTTCAGTTTCTTGATAATCAATTTTTGGCTTTTTCGTAAAATTTAAGCCTTTAATTGATGTTTAGAAAGTTAAAACATTGTTGCCGCTGTTTATGTTTTTAATGTTTTAATTTGCAGAATCCGGCTGATGTAAGTTACGGGTGCCATTTCTAAGGGGTGCATTTCATGAATAACGCTCTTTATGGACTGAACTTGCCTAAATTTTCGAAAAATAACATTTTTTTTAGATGAAAAAATAGTTTTTGAGTTGCTTATAAAGTTCAAATTTTGGCCTGAACTCTCGTCGGCTTGTTGTCCTAGACCCCTTAAAATATACTGGAATTTGTATTGTTTTTTAATCGTCCATGAACGTGAAATGTTGTCCTAAAACTTTCCTTCTGCTTAATTTTAGGTGTTCAATCTGAAACCGTTCACAGTGCGCGATCTTCAGACAAGATCTCTGCCTGACAGAATTCGTGATCTGCACGACCTCACCTACCTTTACCCAAATTGGCCAAAAGATCACGTTTTCGGTAGCTACTACTCCTCCAAAGACGCACTGCTGGCGCCGAACGTGGACGGGTACGTGAAAACAGATTTGATCACAGACATCCCTTTCATCGGGGAGCGACTGAAGACTAGCGGATTCGGCCCTGGGTCCCAAATTGATCATGCGGCCTTGGACAATATTTTGGAAATGCTCGCCACAAATAGTCCGGAAGCGGATGACGGAACAATGGAGTTCACAAGTCCCACCGGCTCTACCTGATCCAAACCTGAACTCTGATTACCTCACTTAAAACGCCGCTGATCTACAAAATGGTTGTTTAGTCAATTCTTACTGCGTTGTTCTATCCGTTTATTTATACACACCACACCCTCTCCTTTCCATTTTCTCAAAGCTGTACATTAATTAATGTAGTTAGATCTTCATGATTGTCTGACATGACTACCTCTTCGTGTTGTGATGTGTTGTGCAGCAGCAGCATCAGTAGCTAAAACTGCTGCTTATCGGTTGTAAATATCAAGTTTTGCGCTTCATACTATTTTAGTGTTCGATTCATCTTTTTGGGTTTAAAAATAAAGATCGATGACGATTCGAAAAAATCATATTCATTAAGGAATGAGACCCGTAATCCTTCAAAAAGTCTTGTTTTTGGACTTCAAGCATAGTAATTGCTTGGAAATATAATAGCGTCAGCTGTCTTCGCCAAAAGAAAGTATAGTTAATAAATAGCTTGTTTATTATCGCGGCTGATTTACGATTGGGATCGAATGATTAATAGGCTACTAAAATACCGTTCCTCATTTTTATCTAAATTTTTTTAATAGAGGTATAACCCGATAATTGCTATAAGCTATTTTTTCTACGCGAAGACACTCAATCAGCCCCTGAACTGCTGAAAGCCCTGCGTATTGCAGATTTCAAAGTGAAAACTAACGTAATTTGTATCTTTTATAGAAATCTTATTTCAATAAATTTCTTGATAATCTAACTTTTCATTTCAGAGAAAAATTATTCCTGGCTGCAATTAATTATTTCTGTGCAAATTAAGTATAAGCAATGTAAAAAAAATTATTGAGATGTATCGAGGTAGATCAAAATGAATAGATCTATGGCGAAATAATATTTATCCTCCTTTCGATGTCGGATGTGAAAGCGTCCATATGCTCGTTTTTGTATTAGACACTATTTCTTAGTTGGAAAACCCAGAAAATGATATATAATGACTTGAAATATTTACCGACTTTTTATTATCCTTGCGATAAGCAAGGGTAATGCAATCGGGTACTAGACTTTTTTCTCGTAAATAACTTTGTTTACAGGACTCAACAACTCCTGGTGGTACCTTGTTTCACAATGAATTCAAATTTCTTACTGTCTCCTGCACTTTTAGCGTGGAGGTAACGAGTACATATGGGACGGCGAAGGTCATGAGTTCGAATCTGACAAGGACCTTTTTTTAAACAGTAAATATTCCGGTTCAACAAAGTTTCGGTCTATTATTTGTCTGCTTATCTTTTGTCGGCAAATCGTTTATTTTTGCTGTAAATAATTTTCACTTACTTCAAGGATTGTAACGTTTTAAAAATCTGCCAGAATCAAAATTATTACATTGCTGTTGTAACTTTACCATCTCGATTTGTTCAAATTTCGTTTTTTTTTAAATTTGTTTTTGTCTTTTTTCGGCTTAAGCGGTTTCGGCTTTTTTGAATTGATATAGTGGCCCTTTATTGCGTCATTTGATGACCGAAAAAGTTTTCGTGTGCGTATGTGTACTGATTTTTCGGCTTTCGATTAAGCTCTCAGTTTGGTTTGTGAATTTTGTAGAGCACCTTGATTTCAGTTCATATGACTTTCGTGGATACTATTTGGGCAGCACATGCATTTTTTCCAAAAAGATTTCGCCGAGCAATTTTGGTTAATTTTCAGCTAATTGGCTGCGGCTTTAGTTCTGCCAGCGTATTTACCTAATTTTTGCTTCCTACAAATTTTTGATGTTGTCTATGAGAACTTAAAGTTTTTGGCCCCAAATTTAAAATTTTGGATGCTTAAATTCAAATTTTAAATATATTTAAACATAAATCAAACTTTTTTGCGTTTCTAGTTGTTTCTTTAACGATAACAACCTTTGAAGTCTTCTTTTATATATTTCTGGAGTGCCTTGGTGTTTTAATCTTATACTTGTATTGCAAGGGGTGCAAAGCTCAGCTTTGCCTCTCTGTAACAATTTTTTTACAAAGAACTTCATTGTGCACTATCGTTTTTGGAATCGTAATAGCAGTAGCGATTTCAACTTAATTGAAGTTGATCTGACTGATTCGGCATTTTTTTTGCTGGTATCTTAGTTGCTACTACTCTTCGCTGTTGTAAACGAGTTCGCGATGGTACTGTGTTTTTACGAATCCGCTTTTTTCCTAGCCAACTCACCGATAAAATTCCTCGTCTGGTGGCACCTGTGCGGCATAGTTAGGCAGTTTAATATGATCTATGCTATCTGCTTTATTGGTGAGTAGTTTTTGTACATTTTCAAGCTAACCTTGAGAGGACATGGTTCTCGTAATCTCCAATCAAAGTTTCGGTTCTTGCATATGACAAAAAATGTGTTATTTTTAAGAGTCATGAACGCAGTGAATACTCCTATATAGGTATTGGTGATTGTTTTTTTAGGAAAAAGTCATAACATTTGTTCACACTCAAAATTGAGTTTTTGCGGTTTGACTTTCTTTTTCTGTTCAAGTTCAGTTTATTGCCTTTGTTAAAAGAAAAGACCAGCTCCGCTATCGAACGGCAAAAGTGTAAAGGTCACGAAAAACATGATCAAGTTTTGATTTCGTAAATAGAATGTAATTATCACATTACCCTAACAGAATGAAAAAATTATCTATTGATCTAATTTTCCCAAATTGGATTACTTTTTATCAAAAAAATTCAATCATAAATTGTTGCAGAAACTCAGAGCTTTGAAGCCAATAGTTTCTCTCTTTAAGCCATATTCGCACACTTGTGTTTGCGAAGTGCAGTTTCGTGTCAGTAAATTTGCAGTAGGGTTTTTCTATGCTAATGAAACTGCTTGAAAGAATGCTAAACGTTTAACATTCAACAGCATAGCACTGGCATTTTCCTAGCATCTGTAGCTGCATCTTTTCAGCCAGGGTTAGCCAACTTTCACGGGCCCGTGGCGCGAACGTGAGACTTAATTTCATGGTGGTAGGTTCGAATTTGAGGCTTTTTCTGACTTGTTCTTATTTTACTTCATAGAACGGCTTTTTGTCGTTTTCTCGAAAGTGTTTGCAAAGCACTGCTTTGATTCTCTGTAATGTGCTAGTACTTTTCAAACAAAATGAATACTTTTCGTTTAGATGTTTGATGACCATGTTAAATCGACCACTAAGCATCGTAATGACTTCCACTTATTTAAAGTGCAATTGCTGCTGCCTGGTTTTTATTATTCAACCATGAGTAATTTTTTTGAGCTGAAAAAGCCAGGGTAGAGCACTAGTCTAGCCATTTGACTCTTTTCCTTGTGCTCAGTATTTACGTAAGTTTTTGCGTACTTAGCTGTTTTAGTAATTGATTTTATTTGTTCTTAAATTTTTCTTCGCTTTAGTCTTTAAGCTTTTTGGTTGAGAGGGTCCAAATTTTGTCGGTTGAATTGTCAGACTTTGTTTAAATCTTGCAAATAAAACTAGTACTTAAAATTTGTTGTTCGCTTTTGTTTTTGCCTACAATCAATCGGAAAATTTGATTATTTTGGATCGCCTGTGTTGACGAATAGAAGAAATTTTTTATCACTTATATTTTTTATTTCATGCTCTTGTAGCGAAATTTCTCAGAATGACGCGTTGAAATTAAATAAGCTAGGCAGTCATTAGATGTCAAAAAGATTCAAAATTTTTTCAATTTAATTTTCATGGTACGAACTACATGATAAAGATCAATGTTTGAAACTGGTTTTGTTTGAACAGTATATTCTATTCAAAACACTTCCAAAATTTTGTATCCCCACGGTTATTTTGTATCCCCACGGTGAAATTTTGTTTCCTAAAAGTTTTATTTACCCTTGCAATCGGGTACTAGACGTTTTTTTCCGTAAATAAGTTTGTTATCAGAATGCTCGAAATAAGAAATGGTAAATTAAGTTAAATTCATAATGAATTCAAATTTGTTTACGTCTTCGGTCTACTTGGTCTGAAGGTGACGAATGTGCCTAAGATGGCGAAGGTCCTGGGTTTGAAACTAATAGGACCTGTTTTTTTTTTTTTCAAACGCAAAATAGTCGATTTCAAAACCAATTGACGGCTTATTATTGTCTGCTTATGTTTAGTCGGGTTAGTTGCCATATTGTTGAATTGTTGTTAAAGTTCTTTTTACATTATAATTTTTTTTAGTATTCTGATTTAGGCAGGAAAAAAATCAGATCAGAGTTTTATTTAAATTTGCAATGCATTTCCGATAACAATATCATCATCAGCAGGCATTTTTATCACTGAAATTTTTTTTTTTCGCTTGAAAATTTTATTCTGCCCAAATGATTTAGGCCTATTTTTATCAGCTTAGTTACCTAATTTTGAGTCGTGTGAACGGAAAAAGATTTTTTGTTCTTTCCTCTGGGTGGCACAAAATGCTAAAAATCTTAATAAAAACTTTAGTTTAAGTTTTTCATGACAACAATTTTTTCGGCTTTAATGTTTGTTTTAAAATTTTTTTGACTGAATAGGTTTTACATTCTATCGGCTTATTGTCCTCACATTTGGTCTTTCGACGAGCAAAAAAAGTTTTTGTGTGCATATCTGTGTTTTGAGGGTGAGGGGGTCTATATTACTTCTTTTTAGTCTAAATTTTTTTTTTGAGTTTTTTTGGCTTTTTTATTTTCCTTTTTTTGTGCTTAATAGGTTTCGTCTTATATTATATCGGCTTAAGGGCCTCATGTTAGGTCTTTCGACAAGCGAAGAAAAGTTTGTGTTTGCATATCTGTGTTTTATGGGCGAGGCGGTCTTATTAGGTCTAAATTTTTTTGATTTCTTTCGGCTTTTTCATTTTCCTTTTATTGGGCTGAATAGATTTCGGCCTATGTTAAACCGGCTTAGTGGACTCAGATTGTTTGAAAATTCAATTGTATTGAGTCTAGTTGCTTTTTTTCGGCTTAAGGGGTTTCGGACAAATATAATTTTGGCTTTGTTACTATTGGGTACATTATCTTCCGATGCTTTTTTCCGATTCCATTGTCTTTGCATGTTTTGGTTTCAAACCTAGCCTTATTCATTTTGATTGATCTAATTTTTTTTGTTATTTTCGATTTCTTTTTTCATTTTTTTTAAAAACTTTTTTTGCATTGCAAGTGGTGCAAATCTCAGCTACGCCTCTGTGTATCAAAGTATCTTCGTTTTAGGCTTTAATAGTTTTTCTATAAGGTGAGTGTTAGAAATATAGAGGTTTATTTGGCGGATTTGTAGTTTACAACCGCTGTTTTATTGTTTTTTTAAAATATTATTACTTTTTAATAGACTAATTTCCAAGTACATGTAATTGAATGAAACTTTGAAAAAAAATGTGTCCAGTTTTTTTTACTTCTCATGGTTACCATGCAAATTACGCTAGCGTATCAATTTCCATGAAATCCAAAGCCTTTTTCAAGATAAAGATTGTTGAATCAGATTCCTTTAGAAATACCTTTCAATACGCATAATCAATCCGTGTTTCTTTTTTTCGTTTATAGCGACTGTCGAATTAGAAAAAAAAATGGTGCTGATGAACGAAATGTTCATTTGCGGCACTGCATATATTTGGCAATGTTCGCTGTAAGACTCCCCGAATAAATTGGAGATTATCCTCATAGTAAATTGGAGATTAATAGTTTTTAACAAATTTATGAGAGAACGTAATATAATTGTGAAATAAAATTGTTAAAAAGGAAGCTGCTTCTTTGGCGTCACAAGTAAATTTTTCCCTCATTGCAACACCCAAAAATTGTGTCAAAAATTTAATCAACCT